ATATAATTTACAACGTTCAGAACTTTGAAGGCCATGAATGGTTTGACTTGCTATTTTCTTGGTAGCAGCAGATTGTTTTACTAGTGTCACGCCGGTTCATCTTTACAAGAAATCCGATATAACTGACTACATCTCATTTAGAAATGTGCACTATCACACCTCCATCGCATAGAAACAAGTAGTGCACATCAGATGCTACACAATCTAATGTAAATTTTCAAGGTTTACGGTGTAGGGTTTAGGTATCTTGTTTGTTTACACGTGATTGCTATATACAATGCCTGATGTCCGGGGTGGATTTGTGGCTACCGGCAGTGCTGGCGGTTGCCGTGACATAGCTTTTCAGTGGTGGGCGAACCGTACTGTGGATGTACGGAGTCTTCGTGAAACCCAAAACCCTAGGAAAACCCAAAACCCTAGGAAAACCCAAAACCCTAGGAAAACCCAAAAACCCTAGGAAAACCCAAAACCCGCTGGAGTGTATTATTGGCTTGTAGCTTTCGCTGTTCGTTTTGGTGTCACCCGCCGCTGTGGTACCATATTAATACCCAAAACCCTAGAACCCTTTTGGGGACATCGGGTGCTCCCTAGTGCACTTTCTGTCCAGGACAACCCGTCTCTCAGTGCGATGGTTTCAGGGTTTCAGGGTTTTAGGTTTTTCGTATCTATATGTCCCTATTCTCAATCGTGATGTAGTAGCGCATGTATTTACGTTTTTGTGTGCAGTAATTGTGCATGTGTTTACGTACGTTTGTGCAGTTTTTGCACATGCTTATAAGTACTTTTACGTTGTCTACCACTCCCATCAGTTGTGTAGCAATGATGGGCATTGAAGATCCCACAGGCGCAGAGACCATCGCCACAGAGCCACGTGCGCCCTCGACTTCAACTGAGTTTAAAACTGTGGTAAAAACCCTAAAACCCAAAGATACAGCTGACAAGATGAGTCCGGATGGATCTGAGACAACAACTAAGGAGATCAAAACGGGACAAAGCGGGACAGCAGCCGTGCTTGCGATCACTGAAAGTGTGGGTCGTCAGACGGGCTTGGATACACACAGTGACCAGCCTGAGGTATTGCATATTAAAGAAGTTGTGGTGAGTGAAACGGTCATAGCGGGACAAAGCGGGACGCAAGGAGACTCCCAACCCACCGCCGGTGAGAGTGTGCGCAGTCAGGCCGAGGTGGATGCCCAGGCGAAGGCTGAGCGCAAACAGAAACAAAGTTCGGAACCATCCAAGATCAAGAAACTGGATGAAGTGGTGGTAAACCGCATAGCCGCAGGAGAGGTAGGGGTAGATTAGTGGTATCACTACAGGTGTACTAGGGGTGTTTAGGGTTTAGGGGGTTAAACTCCTAAATATGGGACGTACCTACGAACATGTGAATGTGTGATATAAATTGTTCATCTGAGACGCATGTGGGTGTGTTTGTCTGTGTGTTGTACCTCAACAGTCTGTGTGGTGTGCTCGTGAGTGCTTCTGGCGTGTATGTATATGCACTCAAGCGCTTATAGTCAATTGAACGATTCTTATCTGTTTATCTGACAAGACAAGGAGTCTCATTAGCTACACACGTGCACACGGAGAGCGTCACCAACAGACGCATTCTACCTGCCCGTGAGTTCAGTCTCTGATGACTGGAGGACTTTCCAAGACTACTGCGAGATGGGCGTTTGCGGTCTATTGTGTAGAGATCACTCAATGACTGGTAGACCATTGGTTTTGGGGTTTTAGGGTTTTAGAGTTCAAGATGTTCTGTAAACCACTGGTGCAAGACGATATACAACTCATGAGGGGTCAGTAGTAATTCGTTCTATATTAATTGTAGCACGACGTGACCCATGCTATCACAAAACATGATCGGTTCAGTGCTTTCTATTTTGGGGCATGAGCACCAGTCAATCACATTGCATCAACGCCTCGCACACACTCGCGATATACCACCTAAAAACCTTAAAACACTCGCGATATACCACCTAACCTACCTATACTACCTACCCCGTATCAGACAACATAAGCAGTGCGATGAATGTGTCAGAGCCATCCAACGGAATCGTTACAGTACTGTTTTGTTAGTGTGCTATTTATGGAACACTCACAGGCCGGCCAATGCCATCGAATAATCGCCAATCAAACTATGTGAGTGCTAAAATGCTGTGTGTGCTATTTACAGATCATTCACAGGCCGGCCAATGCCATCAAAGAACTTCTGGAGAACAGTCTGGACGCAGGATCAACTAGTATCAACGTTGTGGCTAAATCGGGTGGGTTAAAGGTCTTACAGATCAGTGACAACGGATGTGGGATCAAGGTATGTATAGTTTATTCAATTTACGACATACGTGGTATTTCTAGCCGTCGATTACAAATGTGTCGCAAATTCAGCAGATGTTTGTCGCATACTCGATAATCCTGTAGATCAGTAAAAACGGATGTGTATTCAGGGTGTGCTGAATTTGGGCTGTGTGTCCTATATTCGTCTTTCAATGCCAATGTGCAGTATACTCAACGTATATTTGTAGCGTATCACTATGCACACATGCATGAATGCTATTCCCATACCTGCTAAATAACTGACAACGAATGTCTTCTCGAAGACACGCACATTTCGCAATTCGTGCCACTCCCATAACCCTAAGCACTGAATCGAAAACTCAAACCCCGAAACCCTAAACCCTGGACATATAGCGTGAAGATCTAGGAATTGTCTGCGAACGTTTTACGACGAGTAAACTGAAAAAGTTTGACGATCTCAAAAGTATTGCGACGTTTGGCTTCAGAGGAGAGGCCCTTGCCAGTATCACACACGTGGCACACGTCACTATAACCACACGCACTGCCACAGCCAAGTGTGCCTTCAGGTGGGTGGATGTGCAAGCACACACACGCACGGCTACACTACGTGTGTGTATGGCTGTAGACGATCCCGTATACGATCACA